TATGATCAGATAGAGCATCTTTTACTCTATATTTTTATGCTATTTAATCACAATTCAATCAATGCTATAATAATAAAATGATCATAAAACTGTTTTTTGTGCCATTTTAGCTGGTTACAATAATGCATATTATTATCCATGCATATTTTCTTTTTGTTTTTCTCCTCTTCTTCGTAGAAAAAAACGCTATATTTCTTGCTTTTCTTTTCATATCTTCAGTTTATTGAAATGCATTTTTTCTTTATTGTCCTGTGCTGGTGTTTCTCTTGATGAACTTCTTTCATCTCTTTTTTTTTATCTGACTCATGATCTTCTGAAACATTCTTCAGTATCTGAGCTCCGATTTACATACCTGTCAGTTCAGACGAACAATTCAATCTTGCACAGGTTAAGCCTATAGTCAATTTGAGTTGATAAATGAGTGTATGGATGTGTGGGTATGAGTGTACAAAAAACTAATACTCATGCCCAATCACACTCACAGTCACATCCTCTTTTTTTTTCTCTGACCTGGAAACTTCAATCGAACAGCAAATATTCGACATAATGTATATAGATTTTCACTATAAAATAGTGACTATGATAATTTCTTATTAGCTCATCAAGTGTTATCATGTATACGGGTACCAATTTACGAGAGAAATAGAATTTTATTTTTGTTGTCTCTTTTTGACGCCTTATATATATGTTAAAAAATAATTTGCTTGATTCATATTGGCTTTTTTTGTTCGTTAAATATTTAATTTCATGTTACTCTATCATATTCTGTCTTCTGATTCGTTTGAAGAGACAGTCAGAAAGATGCATTGAAAGATATTCTATGCGATCTAAGGATCATCTTTCAAATCTTAGATGAGTGAACTTTTATTGATAGATTATAATCGAATCGACATTGATGAAATTAATCATGTTTTTAGTAGCAATGTTTGTTATGCTGATATTTAGATATAAAAAAATAGTGAATTTTTAATTTTGAATTGCATCTGTTCTTCCTTATCCCGACTAGCTTACTGCAATCTTGTCTTTGAAATCGAAATATATATTTGTGGAACTTTTTATAGGTTTTTCATGTGTCTAATAAAACAATAACAAGTGAATGTCGGTAAATAAGAATTAATCTCAGTAAATATATTTCAATAATGTTTCGTTTCACTTACGAATTATATTTATATGAAAATGTTTTGTATTTCCTCGTTGTTATCGACTCAAATATAGATATGACTATTGAGAAATGCTACTGTCATTGGTTGTAAGAAACAAACATGTTTTGAGTCTTTCTTTTCAACAAGGGAATAATTGACAGAAATTTTTTTGCTTTATTTTCATTTTAGTTTATGAATGAAATTCTAGAAATATGTTCATTCGAGTCAATAGTTTTATGTGGATAGTAATTGTACATATTTTTGCTGTTGAGAATTATCAAATAGCTATTCGAAGTTATTTTATTACAAAAGATCCGTTCAGTGAATGGAGAATAAGTGGATTTTCTATATATGATTCCGAGGAAAAAGATTTGCTTTATCATATAAAATCTTATTATTATTACAATGAGGGAAATATTGACTTATCTGATTTATCTTCAAAACAAATTATTGCAACATTAACATATTCATTTAGTATTTTCAAAGTAAAACAAGCTAAATTTTCAATTTTGACTTTATCTTCTAATCAATGGATAAATGGTACAATTGAAAATAGTTTTCCTAAATTTCATAATGAATATATTATCAAATGGAATGAACAAAATATTTTAATGAAAACAAAATTTTTATCAACATTAACAATATTTCGATATGAAAATCATAGTGAAATTTTGGCAACACTTAAAAAACGTGTTTTTTCATCGTTTTGGCGAAATAAATATGATTTACAGATATTTTCCGATGATCTTCCCAATGTATTTTATTTTCTTTTACTTACAATTACAGATAAAAATGACGAACTTGATTCCGAAGACTAAAATCGAAATACATTTATCAAATAGAACTGTCCTTAAATTTTTATTAGAATATTATCTTTTATGTAAATAAATTATTATTTTCAATAAAATTAATTCAACAAATTTATATATATTAACTTTCATTTCAAATCGCTGCTAAAGACTGATATCAGACTTAAACCAAAGCATTCGGATAAAACGATTACTAATAAGTGCAATATATTGACTAAAGATTTATTAAAAAAGAGTGTGGCTGTGGATTATTCCTTCTATCTCCACTCACACTCAACTAGCTATTAAATATGATCAGTTCTTAAATCACTCATTAAAGACAGATCTATCGTTATCTCTGATATATATACGATCTAAATATTTAAGAAAGGTGCAAGAGTTTATTGCATTCACACTGGCGTTCTATTAGATTGAAAGTTGATTGCATCAATAAAATAACATCAATGTTTACTGATGATTGATTCATTAAGTTAAATGAATCAATCATCCTAGTTCGATTTTGTTTGTAAATCGATTTATTCAATAAGTTGCTGAATTGCGATAATTCATTTCGATATTATCTCCTAGATTTAATTAAGTCAATCTGGTTTTTCATAAGAAAACAATCGACAATTTAAATGAATTAAGTCATTTTTATACAAAAAATGAACACTTCAATTCAAATTGCGAAATGATGTGTGATACTGAAAACGTGCCTATAAACCGTTTTCTTGTAATTAGCTGAATTCAAATAGATTCTTCCATTGAAGAAATGTATCTATACTAAATACAATGAATTGATCTTGAAAGTCTTCTACAATTCTATTCATTCCACAACAATTCATCCTAATTAGACAAATTTCAGATATCGTTGAAAATAATGTTTTATTTATGAAGGTATTAGGGAAAATTTTTATTTTTTTCATTTATTGTCAGATATAATTGATATGAATACAAGAGTTGCTTCGAAGAAGATTTGATTAAATAAGCAAAATCAAATTTGAATTGTATTAGATATCTTACTTATCCAAGGCTGAAAAATGACTAACCATTTTTATTACATTTTGGTTGATAGTTTGGTTGAAGCGATACCCCATTGATATAAATACCTCTTCCACAAGTAGTTGCAAATTGTGTTCCTGACTTACATTGATTTGGACATGATTCGATGCATTTACTAGCGCATGCATCACAACGATTGCTTAAAAATACACAATCAGAATTAGAAATGTGTGGATTGCAACAACTACATATACAAACAAAAGATGATTCTGTTTGAATTACCGATGGTAATCCACAAAGTAACAAACAAGCTGCACTTAATAATAATACAAGTGTATTCATAGTACGTTGGTCTATAGATAAATATATATGATAGACATTTTCTTTTGTGAATCCATTGTATTTCAAATTACTTGATATTAGATTGATATTGAGTCAAATATGGTTTTGACAATAGAAATAATAGTCGTTTCTATATAGAGTTTTCAGCCAATTTGACATCAATTTATACGTGATTTTTTTATATACACATACACAAAAACGAGGAATGAAAAATATATTATTGCGTTTATTTCTTATGCTATTTAATGCAAATAGTCACAAATAATCAATAATATACTCTCGTGAAACTAACAGATCGCAGTATAAATTATTTTTTTTTTAAATAATTTGCATTATTTATAGAATAGAAAACTAGCATATGACGAGCATGCTTTCATTTACTCTTTATAGTTTACTTATTCACTCTTTAATTGATATATTGTAAGATTAAGCAGACAAAAATCAAGATAAAATGTTGCCATTAATCATATCAACTGAGACATTAATATAAAATTTATGCAAACTATAAAATTGTTTTGATACTGCGTATTTTTAATTGATTGACTAAATAAAAATGAATGCTTTATTATTTCCATAGAAAACAGTCCCGAAAAATAACTGATGCTAAATATACAACGTCACTTTTTAATATAACTATACTTTTGATTGTTATAAATGTACATTCGAATTCATAAGTGTTGTAAAAGAATTAGCATTAATATTTACTAATATTTCTGTATTGTCTTCATTAATTGATCAAGCTACTTCAAAATAATGAACCTGTCACTATTTTGACAATAACTTTTGTTCTTTTTCAATACATTAACCAATTTGTTTTACCAAAAGGTATATTATTAAAAGTACTTGAAATCAAATTGATAAGACTCATTTCTATAGTATAGTATAGAGAGAATTAATACGAAAAATTCTTAACATTTAAAAAGTGGACAACTTTCACTGTAGAAAAAAATCTGCGTGATGATAAACCTTTAAAGGATTTATCAAATTCCAACGTATGACAAACGCTTTTTATCGTTTTTATCAGATTGAGACGCCGCATATGGAGAGATTTATTAAAATATTGATCAATTTGAAGTATTCTTTAAGGGTAGATCAAATTCAAAAATCAATTTTTCTCAATATTCATCCGTATACAAATAGGTAGATGAATATTAAGTATACTTGAATAACCTTTGCTAAAACTCATAAAAAAGCATTGATAATCTCCATCAACCATTGATGCGTTCTTTAATGGATATTTCAATTGATTGATCAGCTTTATAAACCATTAAAGAATTCTTCGAAGGATGTTTAAGATGATTGAATAGCTCTATCGGCTATAAATGTATTGTTTTGCACTGAAAAAAAATACAATCCAGAGTAATAAATTCTTGTTATAGGTTTATGAATACGCAATGCACCTTTTTTTAGGTTTAAAGGCGCCATTTAATTTCTTATCAACCCTGACTCGAATTTATGATACGTTGCAAATTTACAGACCCTTATAGTGATTTTTTCGTATATAAACTATTATTCAGTTAATCAATGAGATAAAATCTTAGCCAAAATATCTATCATTGTAAATAGTATACTCACAGGCTAAGTATTTCTCGCATTCATTAACTGAAAAATAGTTTATGAGTGAGAAAAGAAGTAGAAGGGTATGCGAATTAGCAACATATTTTTTAAAAAAAGGCACAATTCATGAGAAGAAAGGGTTTATGAATCTCGAAAATGTACACTCCATGTTTATAAACCCATAACAAGAGTTTCTTACTCTACACAGATTTTTTCTGATGTAGATTAATTCATGTGACTAATGAGTATTAGTCATTTTAAACATATAATAAACGCACTACAAATGGTTACAGCAATAGATTATAGAAAGCAGGAAATGAATTCTATTATGGAACTTACACTACCGCATTCGAATGAATTATTGTTTATTAGCTCGAAAAATATAAGATCGTAACAAAAGCTCAAATATGAAAAAAATAATAACATTTGAAAACTGACTTAACATAGATCGATTTATTCAATTTATTGAATAGCTTGAAGAGAATTACAGATTATTGAAAGTAGTAATCTCCCAATATGCAACTACAAAAAGCAGAAAAGTAATATGTATTGATAAAGTTGAAAAGAATGTTCAGATATAAGTAAAATCTCCAGGAAAGAATAATGTCACAGTTATTGAAAATTGTCAAAATAAATAATTCTTTAGTAGACATATCGATAGAAGAATATTTAGTTTTTATCGCTAGATATATTTCAAGAGAGAGAGAGAGAGAGAGAGATTATCGCTATATTACACAAACAATTAAGAAAATATTTCGTCTAACTAATCAGAAGTTTAAAATAGAGAAGAAATATGGTTTATTGAATAAATCGATGGAAATAGTTATCGTAGTTAAATATCAGATCGGAAAAAGAATAAATATATTACATCTAATTACTTAAAGAATATTGGGAATGTTGTTTAATCATTATTTATATAGAAGTAACTCAACTTATGATGATGATAAAATTTGAGAAATAAACAAAAGAACAGATATCGATTGGAAAGATATAAATCGGTCACTATATTCCTTTATAATATATATTAATGATATTATATAAATGATCGAAGAAAAAAAGAAAGATATATATTACTCATTACCTGGTTCAAATGTTGAATGAAGGAGATATTGAATAAACAATAATTATAAAATATATTTGAAATAAAATAAATCTTTATAAAATATGTCATTATATTGATGTTTCTATTCGAATAGAATACGATTTGGATAAAAGAAAATTATAAAAATATATCGTTCATTATATTGTTCTATGTTGCTCAATTAGAATAAATAACAACTAAAAACAATAGAAATATCAGAAAAGAAATAATTTATTTTTTATATTGCTTTAATAACTAATTTCATTGATATTAGAAAACTAACTAAAAAAACTAAATATACTATTTTATGTGTGACATGATCCTTGACAAAGTTTATTTTCAATAACAAATGAATAAATAAAACATAACTGAAGAAAAATTAAACAATAACTATAGAATTCACTTAATAATATTGATTGAATTAAATGAACCATTGATGAAAAGAAATTAAAACCAAACAAATAATAAGAAAATGATACAACTCATTATGTTGATCAATGTCTGAGGAAATATAGATGATTCGAAGTCTAACGAAAATAATATTGTTTAATAAGAAATGTTTATTCAATTGAATAATTAATAAAATAATAAACAATATCGTTTATATTCGATAATTTATTAACAAAATAAACACAAAAATAAATATCTAATATATAAATAAATTAATTAACAGTTGATATCAATTAAATTAATTACATAAATTATGAAAGATAAAACAAAAAATAAATTTTACATCTTAGAATTTAATATATAAAATTATTTTGTTTTTAATTGAATGAATTAAAATAATACTATATTTACTCGAATTCAATATATCGAGATTCTTGATTAGATCATATTTTAATATTAAAGATAAAAGTATTTAATCATAATGAAATAGATGAAAACTAAAAGAAAGAAATCAATCTAACATTATTCATTATTTTTAACATAAAACCATCAATATTATATTCTAATAAGAGAAATAAAAAGTTACATTTTAGAAAATGAACACTAATGAAAATATACTCAATATTCGATTATATCAAATTAATAAATTCAAAAAATT